AAAAATATGCTTTTTACATTTTTTTTAAATGTGAAAATATCCTTTTTACGTTCAAACTGAAATGTGGCTTTTATTTTTTTTATAAGACATTTTAATTTCAAGAAATGTGTGCTTCAATTGTTCGAAATATTCAATCAATAACCATAAATAGTTTGTTTCCTTCAATTATTTTAAAATCACAAAGATAAGAAATGCACTCTTTCATTAGAAAAATATCCCACCTTTAATAGTTGAGCATATTTACAGTACAAACCTTGTCAATGAACTATGAGGGCAAATTAATAAATAAAATATTCGTTCATTAATTGTGCGCAAGGTAAAATGTTCAGTTAATCGAGATTTCGATTTTAGGCCATATTGTCCAGCCCTAACATGTTGTTAACTAAAAGAAATTATGAAATTCTTTTAATTATGAATCATGCTTATAAGAAACAATTACATTTATTAAGACCATAAATAGAATCAATGTTGAGTTCACACTGTCTTCAAGTTCATCAGAACTGATCATGTAAAACCATCCCTGATGTCAAGCAGTTGTTTATGGTGTCATCTCAAAGCCTGAAGCTGATTGGCTAGTCAAGGGACAGACTTCAACCTAGTCGCTGTAGTCTGCATGTGCTTGATGAATCACTGATAACAGATGTGAAACTAGCAGCGATGCTAAATATTTATGAGTCATTGTAAAATGTGTGGCACGGTTAACCACAGACATCCCTGTAGGCACAAATATTAGTCAGCTCTCTCTAGAAATTTTTTATTAGTGGATCATCAAGTAGTGATATATAATATATTGCTGCAATTCAGATTTGCATGGACAAAACAGCTGAAAATCCACATTAAAGCTTGTCCTGGCCCAAAACTACCCATTTAGGTTGAAAGAGATGGGGGGTGGGGGTGGGTGACGGTGACATGTAAACCGGTCCACCATAAATAGTTTTGTTTCTGTGCACTCCAAAAATATTTAGCCCTAAATTATGTTTTTGAATTTGTATTTCATTTGGATTATACTGTTTTAACATGAACTAATACATTTAATATGATGCATATTTAATCACACAGAAAGAAAACAGACAAGAAACAGTCTGCACCTAAAAAAAAATATTTATCAACAATTTCCATTTTTTATTTTAGTAAAATAATCATAATTTTAAAATGCATTTATGCTTAAATATTGCGAAAACAATTACATTTATTTAGTTGAAAGTGTGAACATGGTTAAAATATGGCTAGCTATGGAACAAGCATTATTCTGTTGGTTAAAATTAATTAATTTCATTAATTGGTTTGTTAAAAAATTTATTATTTATTGATCAAAAATATATACATTTAAATTATAGTGTATTTAAAACGCATTCAGTTTATTCGTACAGAAATATTACCTTGTTTCATTTATTTATTTACTTATTTAGTTTGTTAATTCCTGTAGGTTAAAATTGTATAATCCAAATGGATGGGAATTTTAGATGAAATTCAAATACATAAATGTTAAATTTAGGACAATTTTTTTTTGAGCATGTACCAATGGAGGGCAAGATTGTCTGAAATGGATCATACTACAATAATTAGCTGGTGTGAAAACAATTTAAATAATGGAGCAGCTGTGTCTGTTCAAGGTTGTTGTTGTTTTTTTTGAGTGCTGTGGCGTGTCATCTGAAGTTAAGTAATTGCTCAAGTTTCTTTTGATGATACAAGCATTTTTCTGAAATGCATTGGAAATGAAGTGGACACTGATGGTGAAGTTGCATGACTGTGTATTAGCACAGCTGCTTTAAAACTATTTGTTTGATGAATAATGTTTTGTGCTAGTTTTTGAACTGTGTGTATTGTAAACCCTTGCAGGTCTCAGATGGGCCTCCGCTATTGAAAAAAATCAGTGGTTTGATGAAGAAGGTCTGGTCTTTAGGGTCATGTCAGGGTAACCCTTCCCTTTCAGCGCTTTATGATGATGTCACGTCTTTCCCCTAAGGTGGATGTAGCTCAGCCGGAAACCCCAGTAACCCCAGTCACCCCGGTTACTGCAGGATTTTCCTCCACCTCCCCTAATGAGGTACCTAAATGCATTTGGCATGACGGACGCCACGCATGCTCGATTCTGGAGCCCTCACTAACAAGACCAAAACCTAAACACCCTATTCTCGGGGTCTGAATGCTTTCAGATTGAATCAGACCCCACTGATCACACCAGACGACTACAAATCACACATTGATCAAACTGATCAGCACTGTTTCAGCGAAATGGCTACATCACTGTCTATCTGCCAGCTTTTAAAACATAAATGCGATGATTCAATCATCTACTGGATAGCCGCTTCTGATTTAGGTTGCAGAATTGGCTTTTTTTGTTCTAGAAATTGTCATTCTTTTCTATTTGTCACAGTTTTGTTTTTCATGTGTTTATTGTTGAACTGAAAGCTGGTCTGGTATTAAGACTTTTAAATTCAGACTGCGTTTTTAGTTACCTGCAAACTGATGAACTGAGAACAAGCAGAAATGTTTAACACATTTTCTAAAGAAAAATGAGCCCTTGATTGAATTAAGTTAAATGTAAGTCAAATAAGTGGAGTCTGAATTTGTATCGGCCAGAAATTTCCAAAACATTGCCTTCCAATTTCCAAACACACATGAATCCACATAAACACACTTTCTAAAACCAGTCTTTCGCCGCATGGTGCTACATTCTCAATGCATGACATGCAGTTTTTCCATGAGCAAATAAGAAAGTAGGCAACCAAACAGATAGTGTTTGACTCTGATGCATGTCTTTTGTCAACTGCAGTAAAATATAGAATAATACTTGCGGCTATCATTTAACATGCATCTGCCAGAAATGACATGCCGTGCTCGGAGCAATAGGTCAAAGTTTTTCAGGTGTGATATTGATAATGACTAGATGATAACATGAGTGAGGCTTGGATGATGGGTGTATTGTGGTGGCCAGATGATGATCCGGAAACACCGAGCTTATGGTTTGTGTCTATGTGGCTCTGAGCTTTTGTGTCATCAAGACTAGAGGTCCATTGAGAGTCAATTGTTCCGTGTTGACAAGCTGAAGCATGCATCAGGAAGGTAAACATCTCTTTCCTTTCAACATGTCCATCTATATACGTATATTCCCATTTCATGGGCTTTCTTTAGAAGTCCTTGAATCGGTTGACATCTGCAAATAGCTGCTCAAATGGAGTCTTTCACGATAATATAATAACAACCAAAGGTTATTATTAGAGTGCTTGTCGGATGTGAGTGGGCTTTTTGTATCAGGTTTTTTGAGAGTTTCACAGTTAAAAGACCTTTTCGCTTGTAGCCAGGAAACGTTCAAAACCACATCTGTCTACTTGTGCTATAGAAGATTGAGCGTGTGCAATCATAATGCATTCAATCTACAGGACAAAAGAACACGCGACTGACCTCAACCAGCTGAACATGAATTAAATGATCTTAAATTATGTTCAAGACAGACTTATGCAATGCTGTGGAGAAGGTTTTAGGACTCAAGTGTGTGTTGAGCCTTTTAAAATGATATCAAATGCATTGCTTGGTCTGAGACCACTAGTGAAATGCTCCTTTTTAATGCTTTTTGTTTCTTACCCATTGTAAAATTGTTGTTCTTTTTCCTTCTTTCAGACAAGTAATGGTAATGACCCATGGGCAGTGTTTGACAGTAATGCATCTGGGGGGGTTTCTAATAACTGGGCAGCTCAGCCAGAGGGCACAGAGACCGGGGAAACCAGCAGCAGTGCATGGCATTCTGGGCATCCGCAGGCCTACCAGGGTCCAGGTAACAACTTAAATAAACCCATGTTGGATTATTCAGACTAGACCAGTGGTTCTCAAACTTCTTGCCTTCAAAGGCATGCCGTTGTCCACAACAAAACTGTCCCTGGGTTTTTTTTTATTTTTTATGTGTTTTAATATTTAGGACCTCATAGTTTTTGTACATTGAATTAAAATTTAAATAAATTTCAGAAGCTCAACATAAGCTCTAAAAATGTATATTAATTATATAAATGCCCATGGTGTTTGATTTTATTAATTTTCCATATCTAAAATCACACTTTTAAAATAAGGCCTCATATATCCAAGACTTTGAATCCTGTTTCTTCAAAGGAAAAAAAAAACTGTTGTTGAGGGGATGAAATAAAATAAGACATTATTTTAGTTGTAAATTTTTGTACTTTTTTTGGCCTAATGATTCATTATCAAACAAGTCTGAATCAATTTGATTTGTAAAAGTCCTTATTCAGTAATTGCCAGTGAATAGAGAGGTCTTAGAAAAATGCATTGGTCAAAAAGTGTGGGAACCCTGGATGTCATATAGTGGAAGTAATATTTTGCAGTAATTTCATTGTTAAATGTCTTTCAATGCAATTTGTTTTGTTCCTTTGTCTTAAATGGAAAACTGAACACCACAGCCACAAGGCAAAAATACTTATCATAATGTTTATTCCTCAGGAGCTATTACATTCCTCTTTTAAGGGTTTCGGTCCAGCATATTTAGAAAACAAGAAGCCTCTCCAGTTTGTGAGGAGCCAAAGTGCTGCTTATTGTTACATGAATGTTCTTGGCAAATGTTTTATTACCAAAACAAATTACAAGAGAGTAAGAATGTGTTCATAGTGGAGAACTAGCATACTGTGCAGTATATTTCCTAGTTGCACAGATTAACTTTTTTTTTTTTTTTTTTTACTGTCCCTGGGTTTTTTTTTATTTTTTATGTGTTTTAATATTTAGGACCTCATAGTTTTTGTACATTGAATTAAAATTTAAATAAATTTCAGAAGCTCAACATAAGCTCTAAAAATGTATATTAATTATATAAATGCCCATGGTGTTTGATTTTATTAATTTTCCATATCTAAAATCACACTTTTAAAATAAGGCCTCAAATATCCAAGACTTTGAATCCTGTTTCTTCAAAGGAAAAAAAAAACTGTTGTTGAGGGGATGAAATAAAATAAGACATTATTTTAGTTGTAAATTTTTGTACTTTTTTTGGCCTAATGATTCATTATCAAACAAGTCTGAATCAATTTGATTTGTAAAAGTCCTTATTCAGTAATTGCCAGTGAATAGAGAGGTCTTAGAAAAATGCATTGGTCAAAAAGTGTGGGAACCCTGGATGTCATATAGTGGAAGTAATATTTTGCAGTAATTTCATTGTTAAATGTCTTTCAATGCAATTTGTTTTGTTCCTTTGTCTTAAATGGAAAACTGAACACCACAGCCACAAGGCAAAAATACTTATCATAATGTTTATTCCTCAGGAGCTATTACATTCCTCTTTTAAGGGTTTCGGTCCAGCATATTTAGAAAACAAGAAGCCTCTCCAGTTTGTGAGGAGCCAAAGTGCTGCTTATTGTTACATGAATGTTCTTGGCAAATGTTTTATTACCAAAACAAATTACAAGAGAGTAAGAATGTGTTCATAGTGGAGAACTAGCATACTGTGCAGTATATTTCCTAGTTGCACAGATTAACTTTTTTTTTTTTTTTTTTTTTTACTCTTGGCAGTCAGATCTTATAAAAGGCATGAAAGATGCAGCTGATATTACTTTCATTAGTGACACCAAAAATGAAAAGGCAGGTGGAATTCGTAGTATTTTGTATACATTGTTGTATATGAAAGTATGAAAAAATATGAAAGTTGTTTTACGAGAAGTTGTGGAATATGTGGGCGTTGTTCAGTGATCTCATCTGTTACTTTGAGTCATGTGTTAGACTAAAGTGCGCCAGCAATGATGTCATCTTTGGAAGATCGTCTGTTTTGGAGTCATAAGGAGCTGAAATTCACCATTTCCATGTGCAGAAAAAAAAACAGCTTCTGCAAATCTGTGTCCTATAAAGACAAGCAGAGCATGTGGATTTGTTTTAGAGATGTTTTCCCCTGAAACCGAATTTATTCCCACAAGCAAGATGACTGTTTCACTTATAACTAATAATGTTCTGGGAATTAAATATAGTTAGATTTTTCCACTGAGTGCTTGTGCAATCAGTTTAACAGTTTGAAATGGACGTGCATAATGCACATGAGAGAATGTGTAGTAGAGGTGATATTTATTGGCAAAAAGAAACTTATCGTAACTAACAATCTTTTCCTTTTCTCTGAAGACATTTACCCCTACCCATGTCTTATTGATCTATCAGGTAAACCATGATGTTCATGTGAGGGTTTGGTTTTAATAACAAGCTGCATGAGCTCAACGGGTACCAGAAACTCACTAGAATGTGTGTGAGAGTGTTTTGTAGTGATTTTCTTGCTGTGAATTTTGTTGTTTATGTAACACAGCCTCAGTTTATGAGCATTTCTTCTAGTGCGGGGACTTTTATGTCCCAGGGGTTTTATTAAAACTAACATATTTAAGTGTGTGTGTGTGTGTCTGTGTTTTTTTATTTTTTGTTAAATGATCATATAAAAATGACTTTTTAGCATTCCTTCATTTATTTTTAATACTTTTTAAATGCCTTTTGTGTGTATATATATTATTGTTTCACCCAGACTTTCAAGATTGTAATAGTTGCAATTTGTGCAAAAAAAAAAAAAATCAGTTTTTGCACAAATTACAACTGTTATAACCGAAGATTCATCAGAGATTAGTTAGCATGGCTGATTTGTCCTGAGTGTGTTTGGATAACTAACACCTGGTTCTTACCATGGTTTTTATTTTGAAGTATGTTTGAAGTGTGTGTAATGACTGTTTATAGGTGCAGAAGATGATGAGTGGGACGAGGAGTGGGATGACGTGAAGTCATCGGGTGGCTATGCTGAATCTGAGGCTGGAGAGGGCGGGGCTATAAACAGAGGCGGAGCTCATGGTTCATCCATGAAAATTGCCCTCAACAAGTAAGTCAGATCACACCACACAGATTGGACACACTTCCAAGAGTCAAGTAATAATACACTTAATAAAAACGTAATCCAGTTCATGTGCTTACATGTGTGCTTTCTGGATTCCAATAATGGAATTTATTAAAGGGGGTATAATGCTATTTCATGCATTCAGAGTGTCAAATAAATAAATTTTTTAATAAAAATTTTTAATTTAAATTTTAATTAAAATTTGGATAAAAGCATCTAATAAATGACTAAATAAATAAAATAAAAAATACAGTCCTTCTGGGTTTGCATACGTTTCGTAATGTTTTTTTCAAGCATGGACCTTCATGACGCCATGAAGGGCGGAATTCCTTGTATGGGAACTTCTCCCGGAAGAGCGCGCACACACGTCAACCAGAGCGAGAGCAAGAGTACGCCCATCAACATTGTCGGCAGCGCTGCACAGGACTTGCTTGAGAAGAATGTCTCTTAACAAAGTGTGTTTTTGGTTGCAAGGGAATAAGAACCCAGCGTTATGTGAACAGTGGATGCAGTTTGTTTTACCAGGGCAGCAGTGGAGATTTGCAAATGTGTTAGTTTGTTCCCATCATTTCGGTGACAAATGTTTTATAAACAAGGCCCAGTTCGACGCCGTGATGATAAGAATCCCGGTCATGATTCAGAACCGCAGGCAGTAAGAAAAACTGCATCAAATTTCTGTGTTTTGTTGGCAATCTGCAAGCAAGTGCTCGTCACTCTTTAGCTCCGCCCACATCACGCCTCCAGGAGCTCGGCTGTTTTCGGAGAGAATTGTAAAGCTGAATCTTTCTTTTCAAAATATGATAAAACTAAAATCTCTTTGTAGATATGAAGGATGCAATACTACTCTGTAGGTACTCAAGATTAACAAGAGATTGAGCGAAACTGTGTGTTAGGTCCCCTTTAATTTTATTATTTTTTATCATTTTATTATGTCCATTGTAAAAAAGCATCTTCTCTTTGCAGATTCCCTGGCTTCTCCAAATCAGGTCCTGAGCTGTACCTGCTGTCCAAACAGCCTGCCAAAGGAACCAGGTTGCCTGTTTACGTAAGCCACTCTTTAAAAAGGTCTTAAAGTCTCAATTTGCCTTTCCACAAATTAAGGCCTTTAAAAAGGTCTTAAATCAGAGCAGAGAGTCTGAAATTCATAGTCATGGCATTAAATGTTGCATGCACTGCAAAAAATTAATATCTTTCGCAGTCATTTCCAGTGCAAATATCTAAACATCCTTAAAATACATTTACTTGAAATGCAAAAAAAAAAAAAAATTGTTGAAGACTTGTTTTCTGAGAAACTGAACACAATTAAGTGAGTTGATGCTTAGGAACAAACATCTGTCAATGAGGAATAATAGTGTGATTTCTGGTTTAAGCTGATATTTCTTAGTACATTGGCAGATATTTGTTCTCACTTCATTTTGATCGAGTTTTTCATAAAACAAGACGATTATGTAATGTATCTGTTGTATCGAGACTTTTCCACATACTAGAATGATATTCATGGCTCCATAAAGGGTTTTAATTGCTATATAATTTTATATGATGCGAGTGCGTATATATACTGTATTTCAGGGGGGAGAGGCTGGCCCAGTGTGGGCATATCCAGACTATCAGCTGGACTGTGTTGTCGCTGACCCTAAAAAGGGCACCAAAATGTACGGCCTCAAGAGTTACATTGAGTACCAAGTCACACCCACCGTAAGTACAGAAACCATCATGTCTGCATATACATCTCCATGTTAGTGATTCCAGTTGATGTTGTTTCATGTGATCCAATGTTTCTGCAGACCACAAACAAGCCTGTCAATCACAGATACAAGCACTTCGATTGGTTGTATGAAAGGCTTTTGGATAAATATGGTTCAGCGATTCCAATCCCCTGCCTGCCTGATAAACAGGTGACAGGTGAGCCCTTTTTATTACATACTGTTTGGTGTAAAGACGTTTAAAATGGAAATTCATTAATACCCCCTTTTTAGGTCGATTTGAGGAGGAATTTATAAAAATGCGCATGGAGAGGCTTCAAGGTTGGATGACGCGAATGTGCCGGCATCCAGTTGTCTCCAGCAGTGAAGTCTTCCAGCTGTTTCTCTCCTACAAAGATGAGAAGGTAAATAGTGTTTTTAGCGCTAAATAAATATATAGCTGTTGATTAATCCATTGTTCTTTGTCCCTTTTCTATCCTCCTAAATATTCAGCGAATTACTGCAGATTTTGAGACATGGCCTTTGTTTTTGTTTCAGCATTTTATTCTAAGTCTGTATTACAGGACTGGAAAATGGGAAAGAGAAAAGCAGAAAAAGACGAGACCGTCGGAGTCATGATTTTCTCCACGATAGAGCCTGAGGGACTGCCAGACCTGGACCTGATTGAAGTGTAAGTCCTACAGCCCACCTCAGGATCACTACTCTGATGGAAAATCTAGCTGTTAATAAGTTCATCCATGTTGTCTTGTTACCTTCAGAGAGCAGAAGTGTGAGCAGTTCAACCGTTTCACCAGGGCGATGGATGACGGTGTGAAAGACTTGCTGACCATAGGAAATGAACACTGGAAACGCTGCACAGGCCGTGAGTATGACTTATGACACTCCATAAGCCTACATGTGAATGCATTTATATAGAAAATTGTGTGCGTGTATATATTTTTGAAAGAAAATTATAATAATATATTCAGCAAGCATGGCCGTACCCAGGCTTTGAAAATTAGTGAGGTCCAGGCGGGGGGGATAAACACTATAAACTCATTATAAACACTTTAAAGGAGACAGACATGTAGATGTTTGTGAAAGATGTTTTCTCTGTTTTGGAGGGATGATTATTTTTAAATCATACCCTATTTATTGCATCAAAATTTGTTAATACTTTACTATATTTAAGGGTGGATAATTTTATCAGTTGTTTATTGCAACAATACATAGCTACAACAACTTTGTCTAGTGCTCTTATGAAAGTTTATGATTTGTGAAAATTTAACTATACTGAATGAGATCGCATAGACTTCTTCATGGCTAGTTTTTGCGTATTTCATTTCATTCTGTAAACTACTTGTTCTACAGATCTGTGTGTACTAGTGTTAAATGCTACTGTTTTTGACAGCGTAGATAACGCTTATGACGGATAATATTATGATAATTTTTGCATTTCCCTTACCAAATGTCGTATCCTGTCAGCAAAAACCTGTTCATGGGATTTTTTGATTGCTTTCAGTTTAAGTGCCGGCGATACAGTGTTGCCAGATATTGATACTAAAGCAAACAAAAAAATAAAAATAAACCAAAATTATTAGAGGCTGCGCCCGCGCCCCACACTCACAGCTCTCTCAAGCCTCGTTGGTTCACTCCGCCTGCGTCTCGCAGCGATCACTTTTATAACAGGGATGCTAAACATTCTTGCAAACTGTCTAAACTGAATTATACATGTCATGCAGGCATTCATATGAGGAGTTTAAAGGGGTCATATGATGCTGCTAAAAAGAACATTATTTGGTGTATTTGGTGTAATGAAATGTTTATGCGGTTTAAAGTTAAGAAAACACATTATTTTCCACATACTGTACATTATTGTTTCTCCTCTATGACCCGCCTTTTTGAAACGCGTAGATTTTTACAAAGCTCATCGATCTGAAAAAGCGAGGTGTGCTGTGATTGGCCAGCTATCCAGTGCGTTGTGATTGGTCGAATACCTCAAGCGTGTGACGGAAATGTTACGCCCCTCACCATACTGTTGATGCCGTGTCCCGGCCGGAGCGACAAGACAAAAACATTAAAACCCATTACAAACGAGGCATTTGTTGCATCCAGTGGGGACATAATTACTGATTATAAAGACTTATACTGTCTTTATAATCAGTATCGAAGGATATCCAACGAAGGAGCGGCAAGCACATGTGACGACCCCGGGCTTAGTCCACGGTGAAAGCCTATCCGGCGATCCACAGCACTAAGTTGATGTATTTCCTCAGCGACCAGCACGGATCAGCTCTAGGCATGACGAAGCGGATATCGTCCTCTTTTGGAAGACCAAACAAAGTAGTTTCGCTTTCACAACGAAGTGCACAGCGTCTTCAGGACATAGCGGAAAGCGGCAACAATACTACAGCGAGAATAAAAGTTACGCCTTCTTTCTTTGCGTGAACATTTGGGTGGCGTTATGCAAATCTTCCCACATAGTGATGTAGACATGTGGGGGCGTGTTAGAATGAGCCGTTTTAGGTAGGTGTGGCTGACTCTTAACTTTTATAAAGAATATCTCTTTGGATTTGAGACTTTAGTCTTTGCAACTTTACAGATCTTCTTTATGCACCAAGAGCTTGTAACACTCCAAAGAGAAAGGAAAAATTTAAATCGCATCATATGACCCCTTTAACAGCAAATTAGTCATTTAAATAATACATTTTATTTTTGAACATGACAAATTTAGCGAGGTCCGGATGGCCTCATAGCTGGTTACGGGCCCGTCGGCAAGGAAGCATTAAATGAATTAATAAAGGTTTACGTTGTTACAAAACATTTTCAATTCATTGTTGTTCTTTTGAACTTTCTACTCGACCAAATCAGCGCATTAGAATGATTTCTGAAGAATCATGTGACACTGAAGACTGGAGTAAAAATTCAGTTTTACATCACGGATATAAATGACATTTTCCAAAGCATTAAAAAAGAAAATTGTAATAATATTTCTGTACTGTCTTTTAAATGTATATGATTTTAAGCAAAATTTGCCTATTTCTTATAATTTTGTACTTCAGAAACAGGGGCTCATATTTCACTGTCCAACTTTGAAAAACAAAGTTCAGCTAGAGTGCATTGTGATTTTTATATATAAAAGCTGATTAGTCTTATTTCCTGTTTATTTTTCTCAGCCCTTCCAAAGGAATATCAACGGATTGGCAAAGCTTTCCAAAACCTGTCCTCAGTGTTCAACAGCAGTGGATATGAAGGTATCAGAAACTTTTTACCATCTGGTCTAGTTCTGAGAAACTGTGTTGACCAGCAGTCTTTGCATTATATGTTTAGCCATTAGTATTTTTGTTATTCTTAATGTGTGGTTTGACTCAAAGGAGAGGCTACGCTCACAGATGCGCTGACGGCCGCAGGAAAGACCTATGAGGACATCGCTCAGATGGTGGCGGAGCAGGTATTAAAAAAAAACCTTAGATAAAACGTCTGTTCTCTCTTATATTAGGAAGTTATGTCTCGTACAGCCTCTTGCGTTATAGGAGAAGTGTAACTATTTGTGCATTAAAACATCCTTATATTATAAGTTGAGTGTCAAAATGCTTTTGAAAGAAGTCTTATATGCTCATTAGGTCTGCATTTATTTGATAAAAAATGAAATATTATTACAATTTAAAAGAACTGTTTTCTTATTTTAAGGGGAGACACAGCAGGCAAAAGCACTGTTTTTTCATGCCCCTGTCAATTTTGAGATTTTGGGCTTTTTGGCTTTTCATAAAGTGTTTTTTCAGACTAGTGGAAAGAAAACATCCAAAAGACACTGTTAAAGCACTTTATCTATTTGTCAATAGATTTCAATTACAATACATATTTTTAAAGGCCGTTTTCTCAAAATGAGTTTTTTTCTTATACTGAGAGCCATCAATCTAAAATCTAAATTGTATTGTTGTCTATATTCTGAAGGTTTTTACAGAGGGATTTGTTCATATGTAATTTGCTTGATTATATACATTTTATTTCCCCCAAAATTGTGAAAATATATTGTTTTCTGGCTGTTCAAAGTATTTTCTGAATTATGGAGTGACAAAAAGAAATACCCAAAATCCCCTCGGTAAAAACATTTGCCTCTAATATGTAAAAAAAACAAGAATTTTGAAACGGACTTCATCCAGTGTTCAGATTTTTGTACTAGAAATGTATGCAAATTAGCGCATATTACATTAAATAATGGTTAATTTGTATATTTAAACATAACATTTTACAAAACTTGTAATACAAATTTTTTTTGCAATTATCAATGTAATCAATCAACTAAGGTGATAATTAGTAGTTAATTTGATCCTATTCACCTGCAGTGTCTCGATTTAAAAATGTAATTTACTTCAATTGAATTACAGCCATTACTCCAGTCTTCAGTGTCACACGATCCTTCAGAAATCATTTCTTTTCACAACTGTAATTCACTTTCATATTTTGTGGAAACGGCGATACATTTTTTCCCCCCAGGATTCTCTGATGAATATAAAGTTAAAAAAAGAACAATTTACTTAAAATAGAAACCTTTCATAACATTAGCAATGTCTTTTTTTGTCAATGATTAAAAGTATTTCTTTACAAAAAAAAACGTACTAATCTCAAACTTTTGAATAGTAATGCATATAAGGTTATTACCAGAAAATAATCAGGATGAAGCGGTAACACTTTACAATAAGGTTCATTAGTTAACTACATTAGTTAACATGAACTAATAATGAACTGCACTTATACAGCGTTTATTAATCTTTGTTAATTTCAACATTTACTAATACATTATTAAAATCTTGTTAACATTAGTTAATGCACTGTGAACTAACATGAACTAACAATGAACATATGTATTTTTATTAACTAACGTGAGCGTAGATTAGTAAATACAGTAACAAATGTATTGCTCATGGTTAGTTCATGTTAGTTTATACATTAACTAATGTTTAACTAATGAACCTTATTGTAAAGTGTTACCGATGAAGCCATGGTTATGTGATCCACATTCATTTAGCCTTGTGTTATTTATCTTCGACCTTACCACTGAAACATACAGTGAATGAAAACTTGCTTGTTGTTTGGCCTCCAAACTGTGTCTGGTAAGTGGCTCTGTGTCGCCAGTGTAGCCTTGAATATTTGTAGAGCTCTGAGCCATCAATCTAAAATCTAAATTGTATTGTTGTCTATATTCTGAAGGTTTTTACAGAGGGATTTGTTCATATGTAATTTGCTTGATTATATACATTTTATTTCCCCCAAAATTGTGAAAATATATTGTTTTCTGGCTGTTCAAAGTATTTTCTGAATTATGGAGTGACAAAAAGAAATACCCAAAATCCCCTCGGTAAAAACATTTGCCTCTAATATGTAAAAAAAACAAGAATTTTGAAACGGACTTCATCCAGTGTTCAGATTTTTGTACTAGAAATGTATGCAAATTAGCGCATATTACATTAAATAATGGTTAATTTGTATATTTAAACATAACATTTTACAAAACTTGTAATACAAATTTTTTTTGCAATTATCAATGTAATCAATCAACTAAGGTGATAATTAGTAGTTAATTTGATCCTATTCACCTGCAGTGTCTCGATTTAAAAATGTAATTTACTTCAATTGAATTACAGCCATTACTCCAGTCTTCAGTGTCACACGATCCTTCAGAAATCATTTCTTTTCACAACTGTAATTCACTTTCATATTTTGTGGAAACGGCGATACATTTTTTCCCCCCAGGATTCTCTGATGAATATAAAGTTAAAAAAAGAACAATTTACTTAAAATAGAAACCTTTCATAACATTAGCAATGTCTTTTTTTGTCAATGATTAAAAGTATTTCTTTACAAAAAAAAACGTACTAATCTCAAACTTTTGAATAGTAATGCATATAAGGTTATTACCAGAAAATAATCAGGATGAAGCGGTAACACTTTACAATAAGGTTCATTAGTTAACTACATTAGTTAACATGAACTAATAATGAACTGCACTTATACAGCGTTTATTAATCTTTGTTAATTTCAACATTTACTAATACATTATTAAAATCTTGTTAACATTAGTTAATGCACTGTGAACTAACATGAACTAACAATGAACATATGTATTTTTATTAACTAACGTGAGCGTAGATTAGTAAATACAGTAACAAATGTATTGCTCATGGTTAGTTCATGTTAGTTTATACATTAACTAATGTTTAACTAATGAACCTTATTGTAAAGTGTTACCGATGAAGCCATGGTTATGTGATCCACATTCATTTAGCCTTGTGTTATTTATCTTCGACCTTACCACTGAAACATACAGTGAATGAAAACTTGCTTGTTGTTTGGCCTCCAAACTGTGTCTGGTAAGTGGCTCTGTGTCGCCAGTGTAGCCTTGAATATTTGTAGAGCTCTGTTAACCCTTCATGTGATCTAGCACTGAAACGGAAATTGTCTTTAAAGATATCCAAATTAAAAATGCAAAAGATAGATCCTACCCGTAGCGTTTTACTGTTTACACCCTTAAATGCTGACTGCATATGATTGGATCACATCAAGTGTAAACCGAGTCAAACTGAAGTTATTTTGTTGGTTTACATGAATCTCTTTTAATTACATTTAATTCTAATTTTAAAAACGAAAATAGTTATGAAATTTAGTCTGTTGCTGTTGTCCAATAGGATTAGAGGACTGGAACTGAATCGCCTGTTGTTTAATGATTAATTAAAGGGGGGGGAAGTCGTGGCCTAACGGTTAGAGAGTCGGACTCGTAACCCAAAGGTTGCAGGTTCGAGTCTCGTACAGGCAGGGGTTGTAGGCGGGGGAGTGAATGTACAGCCTTCAATACCACGACTGAGGTGCCCTTGAGCAAGGCACCGAACCCCCAACTGCTCCGGGTGTGTGTTCACGGTGTGTGTGTGTTCACTGCTGTGTGTGTGCACTTTGGATGGGTTAAATGCAGAGCACTAATTCTGAGTATGGGTCACCATACTTGGCCACATGTCACAATCACTTTTATCACTTTAATTGAGTCTAGTTGTAAGGGAATGCATTGTTTTCCAGCCGTTAATGGCTGTTTTAGTCCAGTTGAGCTCTGATTCTTGTCTGCGAGTGAGTGTTGCATATGTGTGCGAGTGGCGCAAACGTTTCGTGAGCGGTTGAATGAAGTGACCCTGGGTGTGTTTGTGCACCGTCTGATGTAATCATTCAGTTTTGTCTGTCTTTCTATCTCTAGCCAAAGAAAGACCTTCACTTCCTCATGGAAACTAACAATGAGTACAAAGGTCTGCTGGGATGCTTTCCTGACACTATTGGAGTTCACAAGGTAAACCAGAAAGGGTGACTACTCCGACTAGCAGTCCTTATAGACTCCAACTCTGTTTGAGCATTCGAATCGACATAGAACCTCATAAGTGAACTTTTTGTAGGCAGCTCACTAGGTGTTTAAACCGAGCCGTAGATTCAATACAAAGGTTTGAAAATTAGAGAATTGATTGGCTGACTGTATTTTGAGCCCTCTTTCTTTCGCACAGGCTGCCATAGAGAAAGTGAAGGAAGCGGATAAACTAGTGGCCACCGGTAAAATCACCACCTCAGAGAAGATCACCATGTCTAAACGTGCCAGCACCATGTCATACGCTCTGCAAGGTGTGCGACCCCCAAAACCACCTTTAAAATGATTACATTACTGAAGAAGTCATAATCACACTGTCGTACATGATGTTAACACAACATTAGAATGCTGAAACATAACTATCATTTTCAATAGACCCAATAGACACAAACAGAGTTTAAGTACAGCGTTCCCACAGGGCTGGAAACCTGGAAATATCAGTGACTTTGGAAAAGCCTAGTCAATAATCATTATCTATGCAAATAATTATTTTTAACTTGAAATCTATAAAGAGTTTTTTCTTGTACTGCTGTTACTGTATTTTATTTTGTTGTATTTTATTATACTGCACATGACTTTATAAAATAAGATGACTTATTATACTGTGTAATACCGGTAGTGTTTTATTACTATATATATATATATATATATATATATATATGGCATATTAGAATGATTTCTGAAGGATCCTTCTGGAGACTGGAGTAATGATGCTGAAAATTCAGCTTTTTTTCACAGGAATAAACTAGATTTTAAAGTATATTAAAATAGAAAACTGTGATGTTAAATTGCAATAATATAAATAAATTCGTTTTTTTTTCTGTATTTTTGATCAAATAAATGCAGCCTTGATGAGCATAAGAACCTTTTTTTCTTTTTTTTTTAAGCATTAAAGATCTTACTGATCCCAAAATGTTGAAAGGCACATAATATATATAGTAATAAAATACAGTGTAATAAATCCTGCAAGATCCTGCAAAATTATTTTTATTTAAATTCTCAAATGTTTTTTAAGTTCTGTTGTAATTTGTGTCAGTCACTTGAGAGATTAAATGTTTCTGCTTATAATAATTTAACTGAAAAAAGAAAAATCCTGTAAATTGATCAAGTGATGAATTTGACACATTCTGTCCTCTATGCAGCGGAGATGATCCACTTCCATACCAACCGTATCTATGACTACAACAAGGTGATGCAGCAGTACCTGGAGCAGCAAGTCAAATTCTATGAGATGGTAAAATGTGGAAGCAACAGTAAGGTTCAAGAGCATTCCATAATGTTGGGAGATGTTAAAGCATTGAATTGGTTTTTATGTTTTGGCAGATTGCGGAGAAACTACGACACGCTCACAGTCAGTTCACTACTATGTAACGGCGGAGCGGCCGTCCGGAAGCTGCCTCACTCGTTCTCTCTGTTCCTCTTACATGATTATTCTCATTCTGTGTTTCTATTCATGTTATCTGTGTCATGATGTCAGTGCCATAAAAATATCCTGTTGATCTCAGGCCAAAGAAAGCATTGATCGGTGGCCAAAAGCAGCTACAGATTGTGACTAAAAATATCAGATTATATGGGGCTTTACTTATTATAAGTATGTAGTTGTTGATTTAGATGTTCCAGGTTCTGTTATGACCTCCATCGATTTGATTTATGATAAATATGAAAGATGCAGAGAGAGACATAACTTTACGTACTTTTATACAAGTGATCTAAACTTATTCTGAGGCACATATGAGGCTAAGCCAAGTTTGATTGTGCCTTGTTTTGTAGAGACCCTGCAAAAAAAAAACATGCTTTTTATCTACTGCACTTTACTGTGGCCTTTCAGATGCGTCATCCTGTTTGTGTTTGGTCACGGCCAAAAACAAGCCCCATCATTTTCTTTGGAGGCTTCTGGAGATGATAACAGGAGGGCTGGTCCTTTTTCTCCATAAGAGACATTTTGATGTTTTTCTCTCTCCGCAAAGCCAAATTACAAACAGAGATCGTGCTCTGTTTGATGCTTCCACCTCAGTGCAATTATCACCAATTTCTTATCCTGTAAAAATGAAATTATACTCCATCTGATGCATGTTGTTCATATATTTTGTATGTATAGCAGTGTTCGCAAGTCTTTTGCACACAGATTGACTAAACCATTGAGATTATGAGTTCATAAATAGTGATTTGTATGCTATGCAGTGGATTTGTTTCTGTACGAGTGTCTGAAAATGAATGTAGTGTGAATAACTAGAAACTTGATGGAGGCTGTGACTCAAAACCTAGCATGCTGCCTACCTAGAAGGTGACCGCTTAAGATGTCCGTTTTGTTAACAGCGAAATCGGCTCTCAAGGTTTAGAAATGGAGCCTGGTGAGTCAGCTGTGTGTTTATGGTGAATATGAATGAGGCGGTCTCAAAATATGTGTTTTATGTCTGAATGTGCTTTACGCACCAAGACCCATGTTGTGTGTGATTTTGTGGTTTATGCGTTTCATCATATAACAGAAATCGGTTACCTTTTTTTTTAAGGTGTCTTTGTTACAGTGTAATTATACATTTCAGTATTGAGTAATATTAATTAACTACATGTACTTACTATAGGGTTAGGGTGCTCTCAAGGTTTAGAAATGGAGCCTGGTGAGTCAGCTGTGTGTTTATGGTGAATATGAATGAGGCGGTCTCAAAATATGTGTTTTATGTCTGAATGTGCTTTACGCACCAAGACCCATGTTTTGTGTGATTTTGTGGTTTATGCGTTTCATCATATAACAGAAATCGGTTACCTTTTTTTTAAGGTGTCTTTGTTACAGTGTAATTATACATTTCAGTATTGAGTAATATTAATTAACTACGTGTACTTACTATAGGGTTAGGGTTTGGTTTAGGGTTACTTGCATGTAATTATGCATCATTTATTGTTATTATAATAGTAAGTACATG